GGGGGGTGTGTTGGGGGGGTTAGGACCCCATACCTCTTAAAGTGGCCAAGGTTGAGAAACCCTGCAATAAAGGGACAATCTACCCAAATTGTGTCCGATATCCTTCTGCCAACTATGGTAATTCCTCAGTTTGGACAACTGAGCTTGATGTCTGAGACTGATAGGAAACTGGGCAACCTTGTGCAAGTTCTTCATTCTTCTTTTAGAGATATTTTGATCAATAAGCTATTGGCCATAGACAGGCATTGTCAAAAAAGTCAAGATGACAGCTACACCAGTGCAATCAAAACTCTGCCTGTTTTTTATGCGCATGAGTGCGGCACATATAAAAAACAGGTGGAGCTTTCATCTCACCACTGTGCCTGCCACATTGACCTTTTTGACCCTTTCCAGTAGATGCCTCTGGTTGCATAGAGGACCGTTCTATTTTACACTGACACAATATACAACTATACACTCGTTTGGCTTAAGGACGTACCACAAGTGGTTTAAAAATGAAAATATGTTGAATTAAATCAATAAAACACCTTTCTTTTATTCAAACGTCTTTCTTTTGAATAAAATTGGATAGATACGTAAAGTCTCATTTTATGGTTGGACATTTTTTGAAAAATAAAGAATCAGACATTCAGACAGCTCCTTTGGAGTGATATGTACCTGCCGAGCCATGCAATCTTAATTGAAGAGGAGAATCCAAAAGACTAATTTTGAGGAACTAATTACAAATGCAATTGAAGAAACAGGTTGAGAAAACATTTGAGTACTATTTTGTGGACATGTCCTCCCCCATTTTAAACAAATCCTTATTTGGAGGCAAAAATCAAAAAGAGAGAAAATATTCCAATCTCTACCAATACTGATTTTTAGAATAAGGTTCCTTTTTATTTAAAAAAAAATTATAAAGACTTACTTTATCTTAACATATTTTTTTTAAAAAAGAACAGTTAAAATGAACACAGAAAATAAAGTGGAAGAATCCAAATTCACAAAAGAAGTGTATGAATTCTGTTTCTTTTCCTCTTTTCTCCATTTCTCTTCTTCCAGGTCATCTTCTTCCAGGCATGCTCATCTTGCGTGTCAGAGTCTTTATCCATCCTCCTGTTCTCCAGAGGTTAATGCTTTGAAGCTTCAAGTATAATGGGAAAAGAAGTAAAAAGTGAGCAACTAAGATAGCCTCGGTTAGATTTTACAACCTCAAAGATTGTAAGTTGCTGTAACTAGATAAGGAGTGAAGAAGAGAAGAAAGTATTTGAAGAAAGTATCTGAAAAAGTGTGGAAACGTGGCTATGCCAGATGGCCTGGGGGCCTGCTGGGAGCTCACATTGTGGAATTGGCTGGTGGGATAATCAGTACTGCTCCCCCCCACATCATCTTGAATTGCATATAGTCTTTTTATATAGAATTGTTATTCACTAATTTTAATATGGATATTTATATTTTCATTGTTTTCACTGCTTTGGATTTTAATTGTGAGCCGCCCAGAGGCACCCTCCGGGGGAGATGGGTGGCATATAAATTCAAAAAATAAATAAAACATTTGAAAAATGTATCAGCTAAAGCAGGGCTTGGTAACTAGGTACTCCCAGAGACCAGAGCATCAGTGGCCCCTAAAATGGCCCCTATATCCAGAGGCATCCTTGGTATCGGACACTTTCACCAAAATAGCACATAAACTATTGTGATGTTGCGATGCAAGTCCGTCTCCTTTTGCACATGCAGGTGATCTCCCAAGGCATGGAGCAGAGCAGTGCAGGGTGAAGGAACAGAGCTTACCCTGCAAAGGCACAACACTTGTGTCCTCATTTCCTCCCCTCCCTTGACTCTCCCTGTGGACAACTCGGTCTTTACATCCACACAAGAGAAACTAGAGAAAAGTAAAAGACTGGCATAAACAAACAAATAACATCTCTTAGAATGTGGCCAACCCAAGAGATTTCAGCCATATTTCGTGGACTCTCCTGCAGTGGTGCCCGACAAAGCTTGCTGAGATCTGGGATAAACAGTAACCGTATTCACAGATTTACGGGAATCACAGTAGCCCCAAACATTCGTAAACCTGGTAAATGCACTCCGGCTGCAGGATTTCATAAATCTCTAACTTCCATCCATCACCACCACCCAGATACAGCCTTCTGGAGTCTCCTGGATCATGTTAGCTGTAAATTGCTATTTTTGTTGCCCTCAGAGTCAGTGCATTCCTCTTCTTCAACATCCCAGGCTGACTGGCTTCTCCTTCTCCTAAAGGACTCTCATTATGACTTTCATGCTAGAAGAAGTTCCAACTACCTCCATAGACCCATTAAGTGTTTAGTCACCATTGTAACTGTGTTTGAATACCTTTGGATTGTTCGTAGAAATTCTCACCATAACTTTGAAAACATGCATAATATTTCTGAACAGATTTGAAGAAAGGGATTGAAAAGGTTTCAGCAATGATATTAGCAGCTACAATCTAGTTGCAGTGAAAGGATGGAGAATCTTTGAAGGCCAATCTATTGGCCTCCAAAAGCTGCAGAATTTCAGCTCCCTACATCTGTTATCCTTGGCCATGCTGGTTGGGGCTGTTGGGAAACATAGTGTGGCAACATCTAAAGAGATATATATTATCTCGAGTGCGGAGACTAATCTTTTGGGTTCTACCCCTATCTTGGGTATAAGGGAGGTAGGTAATAAATGGCAGGTACAAACCCTGGTTTTGGTTTTCTTTTACATCAGGGTTCCTCAACCTTGGTAACTTTAAGACGGGTGGACTTCAACTTCCAGAATTCCCCAGCCA